CTCTCTCTCTCTCTCTCTCTCTCTCTCTCTCTCTCTCTCTCTCTCTCTCTCTCTCTCTCTCTCTCTCTCTGTGTGTGTGTGTCTGTGCGTGTGTGTGTGTATGTGCGTGTGTGTGTGTATGTGCGTGTGTGTGTGTCTGGGTCCCGATCTATTACGAATACGCAAGGGTTTCTTATCTGTGCACTTCACTCCATGTTTACTGATGCCTCGTCATCATCGACGACCAAAGCGGACAATGGCAGATCGGATGGGCCCTACCAATGACGGTCGAGACCTCAGCGACGTTGGAAAGCGACCGGCAACCATCGCGACGTCCAACTCACCCGTTTGTTCATCCATGGTCCACCCTTTCAATCGATTCATCCTCATCCAATGAATCTGCTGTCGATCGATCGATCCTGAATGGATTCCTTCATTCCCTTCATTCTAAATCCATCCAGCCTTTCTCTGTACACTCCAAACCGGTCTTCATTCATCTACCCGTCTGTCCTATACGGAATACTTTCACATCCATCTTCCGCTTCATTCATTCGCTACGTAGTCAGAGGGTGATTGCGCCAAATGCTACACAATGCACACCAATGACTAATGATTAAGAGATCAGAGGGTGATTGCGCCAAATGCGACACACCCATGACTAATGATTAAGAGATCAGTGCAACGCGGAACATAAATACAATATGGGATAACCCAATCAGGGATTATATCCCTTTCGAAGGAAACAAAAAGCGAAGTGGGGATGGTGCTGGTTGGGGATTGGGGGGGGGGGAGGGGGGGGGGGGTCCGTTCACCGCGGGGTAGTAGGATAGGAAAAGACGGAGAAAAGGGAAAGAGACATAACCGGTCCTTATCCTTCAAGCTTCCCCTACTTACTTTTGCGAGTAACCTTTTCCGTTCACAATAATCTTGATAAGCAACAAAAAAAAGTTAAAAAATCCAGATAAGCTGGCAAGCTGACGTAGAGACTTCCCTATTTCCGTTCACAATAATCTTGATAAGCAACAAAAAATTAAAAAAATCCAGATAATCTGGCAAGCTGACGTGGACAATGTAGTCTTTCTTACATGATGCGACCTCGGCACTCGTCTGTACATAATCTGACGGCATACCCACACTCGGCCTTTTCCACTTAGTTCTGGACGTGCTTACAGTCAATCACATACATGCGGTTCTGGTCGCAACTCCAGTCAGATACATTTAGGAAAGTGCTACAGTCTTCCCCCGAATACAACGTACGGTCATTATAGTTGTATCTAGACTGAAAGATACCTCAAATACAGCTATAAAGACCGTGCGTTGTATTCGGGGGAAGACTGTAGTGCGAATATATGCCCTGATCTAGGTAATCTTATCTACATAGCATTGATCTCCGTAACTCCTATCTACATAATCAGGTCCCGGGTAATCTTATCTGTATGATAATCCTGCGCGGTATTCGAACGCGCTGTGTGCAGAACCGCACCCCAGGATAATAATTGAACAGACAAGTGTCAGATATACTGCTCCCTGCAGCATTTATTTATCTAGATAATAATCTGATCTCAGTACCCGGCTTCCCCCGAATAGAACGTACGGTCATTACAGCTGTATTTGGGGCACCTATCAGTAGTTATAGATCCGTACATCTGGGCCAAAGGCACTCCGTGCAAACACAGATTCGAACCCGCGACCTTGGTCTCAAGACCCTACCTTCTTCCCCCGAATACAACGTACGGTCATTATAGCTGTATTTAGACTAAAAGATACGCCAAATTCAGCTATAATGACCGTACGTTGTATTCGGGGGAAGAAGGCAGTCTCTTAGCCACTACAGCCAGGACACGGTGTTCGAAAAGATCATGACCGTACGTTCTACCGCAGCCTTATCTAAAAAGATTATCCGATCTCGGTACCCGTCGTCCCCCAATGAGAACGTACGGTCAAAATAACTGTACTTGGGGCAGCGATCCGCCTAGATACAGCGGTAATGACCGTACGTTCTATTCAGAGGAAGACGGGTAGTCTTGCCTACAAAATCCGAGATCCAAAACCTCATATCTAATTAACGTGAACTAATCAGATCTTCCTTATTGCACCACCTAATACCACTCAATGACATAACGGATGCAGAAGCGCTTCTGAGGCTAGAGAGGAAGCGATCAGAACTACGAGAGGAGGTTCAAGACTTGAGAGGAAGTTGGGGAGGGGGGGGGGAGGGGAAGAGGGAGTGGGGGAGAGGGTGCGGGAGAAGACACAGCGACACTGGTTACCAAACCGGACTCCTTCAAAATGCATGCTACTACTGCAGTGTGCTTACGACGAATCGAATACAGCCTTGATCCATACTCGGAAAAATGAGAAAAAACCAACAATGTGCGAGGAATCACATGCAGCCTTGATTCCCTTAGTCGGAAAAAGAGAAAAAAACGCGATATGTCCCTCTCACAGGGGCGACAGAACGTAATAACAACATAAAAACTCACGCACGGTTCAAAGAGAACTGCACATTTACATTCCCTCTTTCCGGCAACCTACTCTCTACACAGCTTTCGCAAAACTCTCTCTCTCTCTCTCTCTCTCTCTCTCTCTCTCTCTCTCTCTCTCTCTATCTATCTATCTATCTATCTCTATCTATCTATCACACACACACACACACATGCACAAGCACAACAACAAAAACGAAGTGCACCTCACGCCCGCAAACAAAAATTACAGGCCAGGAAAAGCGTCAAACGAGAGGAGTCATTTCTCTCTCTCTCTCTCTCTCTCTCTCTCTCTCTCTCTCTCTCTCTCTCTCTCTCTCTCTCTCTCTCACACACACACACACACACAAAAAAAAAAAAAAAAGAGATGTCCTCACCCCCGCATCCAAATTTTATAGGCCAGGAAAAGCGTCAGACGAGAGGAGTCAACGCATTTTGGCTGACTTTTCATCTTGTCCCGATTCACATAACCCATCCGCCATGGAAAGAGAAAAACAGGATATACCATACACACCCGCCGTACTCTTGCCGTCATTCCCTGGACGTTCTCATATCAGAAGACATCTATCGCTCCTGTCGAACGACGAAGAGCAAAGAACAAATAGACATTCACATCCGCATCGACCTTATCACCACAAATAAATACTACGGCATCATCACGCGTCTGAGCTTTTCGTATATCCCAGCGAGTTGAAAATGACCCAATATACATTATCATACGCCCGACCTTCCCAACATCCAGCAGCATTACATAACGACATTATTGATTTGATCATTTTTGTGAGAACTAACTGTAGCCGTCCTACCCGATATACATGATTATTGTATTAGAGTATTAAATTAATGCCAAAGACCTGATATTGCACGTTCAACCCTAACAATCACTAATATCAAGCATAATACTGCAATCAGTAGCTATCAAGCATAATACTGCAATCAGTAGCTATCAAGCATAATACTGCAATCAGTAGCTATCAAGCATAATACTGCAATCAGGAGCTAAATTACAAGCATGCAAGCAATCGATGTGCAATTTATAATTACCAATCAAGTAGTAGCTAAATATAACTACCCGTACTCGTGAAAAGAAATGAACACAAACTATAGCTATACATTATCCTGCCCCCACAGTCTATGGCCTCTGTTTATCATTATTTCATTGCCATAAAAATGATACTGTGACAACTAAAATCCTTCCTGTTAATCGAGAAACTGCCCTTTGCTAAAGGAAAACCACGATTTCGCTCTTCCCACAGTGATACTGATATTGATAATGATAATGATCATGATCATGATAATGATAGATGATAAATGATAAATGATAAATGATCATGATCATGATAATGTTGATCTCCACAGAGTTACACTGACAATGATAATGATGATCTCCACACAGTTATACTGATTATGATCATGATAAATGATCACGATAATGATAAACGATAATGAAAAATGGTAATGATAATGATAAATGATAATGATGAAAGATAATGATAAATGACAAAAGATAATGATAAGGATGACGACAGCTGGGTGCAGGTCCCGGCGGAGTCGAAAAACAAAAGACAACTCCACAGACACCATCAACGGACGGATTTCAGGAGCATTCATGAAATGGATGACGGATCCAGGAAGCGACACGTGTCAACTTACGTTTTTGACCCATCCACGAAGAGACACGTTGGCTTATCGTACCATTGAGCACCCATGACGATCATTTATTTTTCCCCTTACTTTTCTCTAATAAGTAAAATCCAATCCTAGTAAGAAACTGCCTTCGATTACTGCCTTCGACCAATGAAAAGCACGACTACAGCATTCATGAAATGGAACGGTGGATCCAGGAAGAGAGACACGTGTCAACTTACGTTCTTGTCGCATCCAGGAAGCGACACGTTGGCGTCGTACCATTGAGCGCCCATGACGGTCTCGATGCTGTCCGCAATCAAGTCCCTCGATTGCAAGCTATAACTCATCCCCTCCGTTCCCATAGATATCCCATCACTCACACCAATCGTGTTGAACATAAACGCAATCATGCCGGCTTCGCGAACCCCTTCCTTCACGGCCGTGGCCAGCTTCATCAAGTGCATATTGCACGGATTGCCTTCATACCAAACGGACGAGATCCCAACCTGCGCCTTATTCATATCCTCCTCGGATAGCCCAACACCATAAAGCATGGCTTGGGAGGCGCCTTGCGATTTCGGCTGAGTGATCCTCCTGCTATACTTGTTCAGAACCACGTTATCGACGCCTTCGCCATCTTCCACCGTGGTGGGAGGAGGGGCAGGAGCAGACACCGCACGTGGCATCGCCGTCCCCGGCTTCTCTGCCGGGCGGCTATGGCGGCAAGAATGACAACCCCCCGCCCGATTCATCCCCCTTGCCGATAACGCTCCAGCAGCAACAGCATTCAACCCGCTGCCGCCGCTTACGTAGTCCGAACGCTGCGCGCCGAGCGACTTCGCTAGGACGCAGTGGTAATGTCGCTGCTTGCGGTTGGTGACAGAAGTCGCACCACCAAAAAGACCGCCTGAGGCAGCCGCAAAGGTATTTGTAGGGCCAGTGCCGGAGACGGCACGAGTCTCTAGAGAGGAGGAGGAGGAGGAGGAAGAGGAGGCGCGGGCACCGTCTATGGTGATCGACTCGCTCCGCTTCAAGCCCGCCGACATGCCAGCGGTGGCGAAGCCCGCCGACGACGAGGAACACACTGCCGCCATCGCTCCGGCTGAGACGGCGGGAGGCAGTCCGCTTTTTTCCGGGCTCGATCTCCACTACAATGCGCGCCGATCCGAGTTGTGCGAAAAAGCATGCCCAACCGGGAAATATTGCCTCTTCACACCGCTTTACCCCGCGGCCGATCTTTTCAGCAGAGCCCGCCATTACCGTCAGCAGTTAGTTTAGTTTAGTTATTGAGTCGGCCGAGATCCGGGGCGAGGTAGCAAAGAGTATCGGATTGAATGCCCGAATCTGGACGTGTTTGTGCGACGGTGCAGAAAATCGAGATCGACCTGCTTTTCGGTAAGAAGTGCTGAAAACATGTCCAGATTCAGGAGCTTAGTCCGATCTTTCTTTGCTACCGGTACCGGGACCTGCCCCCCGGGGCTAGGTCCCACTTACACGAATTAAGCGATATTGACCGTAGATAGCAAAGATCAACGGCCAGATTCTCGTAATACGTGCAAGTGGGACCTTGCCCCCCGGTTGGGCCGAGTCCATGTGACCGAAGGCGACTGTCGCAAATTGTCAGCACTACGATTTCCTCCGGTCAAACTGATCCAGAGCGCTGGCTGTTCCACTCCCGATGAGTCCCCCCGCCAGGGCTTTTATTTTTCTTTGGGAATTTTTCGAAATCCCCCTAACGTTTGTGTTTTTTGCGGCATGCCCCTCTGACGGCCGACTTACCTTGTCGCGCCCCTCTGACGACGAATGATGTTTCCAGAAACCCCCTGGCGTCGTTTGGGCCTCAAACATGTTTCATATGCCCCTACCGGTAGCGGTACCAAATTTTCAGTATGCCCCTACCGGCTGCCTGTTGAGAACCAGCAGAAATATTTCCCATATGCCGTTACCGGTACCGTCCATCTTTCCAGCAAGCCCCTGTCGCCGTTGTTGACACTCGCAGTCCACATGAGGGAAGAGGAGCGAAGAGGGGGGAAGAGGAGTACGGAGGACAAAGACTATGACGATGTTGGACAAGGAGGAAAGAGGGAAGAGGAGCCAAGAGGAGTAGGGAGGACAAGGACTACAACGATGGACGAGGATAGAGGATGGAGGCTGGCGGAGAAGAGAGGAGAGCGACGAGCATGGATGGGGGAGGAGGGAGGAGGGCGATGAGCATGGGTGGAGGAGGAGGGAGCAGCGATCCATGGCGTGGCGAAATGGAAGACTGACTGCTGCACCATTTTTGGGTGGCGGCGCGTGAAATAGCTACCATTTTGGACTTCAAATTCCTGCCGCCACTGCTGCAAGGGCATCACAGAAAGATGTGCGGCCCTCGTGAGGGCATTTCAAGGACGGACCGATGAAATGCCACCAGCGGTCCAGTAAGGGCATATCGGAAAGTTATGCCCCATGCTGACAGGGGCCTGCAGAAAAATTCAGAGGCCCAAGGGGCATAACAGGGTAAGCCGTCAGAGGGGCATGCTGCAAATAAATGTAACTTCAGGGGCATTTCGAAAATTTTCCCTTAAAAAACCTCCTATCTCGACCCTGACTACCATTCACACCATTACCCCCATACCAAATACGAGTACACAAACCTGCCACGGCATCTAACCAAACCAAACGCCAGCAACAGGTTGAATCAGGGTCACCCACCTATGACCTCCAACAGGGTATCGGCGAAAATACCAACCTACCCGCCAAGCTTGGCGCCAGCAAAAGAATCAAATAGGCAGCCCAACACAAAACTGTCACGGGTAGCCAAGTAAGCAGCCAAGTATTTCTCAAATCAACGCATCGATCCTAACGCCAGCAACAGACTGAAAAAAACAGCGTCGCCTACCTATGAGGGCAATGTATTCGATCTCATTCGAGCAAAATAATTTCGATTTCGTTCGAGCAAAATAATCCAACATCGAACTACACAGCAGTACGAACTCCAAAGAAAGGATTACCAATACCCCAAATAATAATCAGGGGCCGATGCAAGGAGATGCAGTCAAAAAAAAAAAAAAAAAAAAAAAAAAAAAAAAAAAAAAAAAAAAAAAAAGGGAGATGCAGTGGCAGCCACATTCTGGGTGGACTTGGCAGAAACGGGGGGGGCGATGCTGCTGGGATGGTCGATGATAATCCTAGTATATTTGTTGTATTACACAATGAGTCCTCCACGAGAATAAGGATTTGTACATTGTGTTTATCTACATGAGTATTGAATTCCAGATCATTATTAAGTATTGATTGATGGTTATTGGAGATAATATGACATGAGTGTCCAGTATTTGTCGAAGTTAGGTAGGGTGCCCGAAGTGCAATTGCAACCTACCCCGTGGGCTGGGGAGGGATCCGGGTTGGTTGGTGTTCCCCCGTACTATAAATAGACTAGTGCGAGGATGAGATAAATGCGTACTACCAAGAAGATGAAATAGATTGAGAGAAGAATATAGATTACTGAGGTAGAAAGATGAAATAGACTGAGAGAAGAATATAGATTACCGAGGGAGGCGGCGGCGGCGCCTGGCCAAGCGGCCTAGCACTATCGCCCGAAGCTGCCGGCGCTAGGGGCTTGGGCTTTGCCCGAAGCTGTGGTCGCCATGCCCGGCTGTCCCTGGCAGCCCACGGTGGCTGCTCTTGCTCGCGCACGGGAGCAGAGCTTGGCCAGCATGGCGGGTGGGGGAGTCTGTCGCAGCTATGTTGGGAGTGGGTGCTGGGCGTCGCGGTGCTGCACGGTTTTCTTCGCCGCCTGCAATATGCTATATGGAGCTTTTTTCAGGACCAGGGCACCGATGGTGCACCTGGCTGGAGATTTAAAGACTGTGCATGGAGCGTGTCTTTTGAGATCGTTCATCCTAACTCCACTGGCATTTACCTATATGCTGCCTTGCGCGTCAGGATAAGTGGGCTTGTTCCCTGTTTTGAAAGAGAGTGGGCCTGCGTTATTTTCCTGATTGTTCACGTTCGGTTGCGGAGATCAAGACCGGCTTGCTCCCTATGTTGAAAGAGAATGGACCTGGGCAATATTCTGTCGAGCTGGTTTTGAGGCGAGTATTGGTGGTTGGGCGACAACTCTTCCGTGCCTTTGGATTATTTGGCTATGCAGCGTAATCAAAGTAATTGGAGCTAATTTTGCGTGGGATGCGGGCCCGATGTTGTTGTGCGTAGTATGGTAGGTTTAGGTGTTTGCTTCTGTTCGTGTTGCTTCGTGAGGTTTGGTACGTGGTGGTACGATTTTTAGTGTTTTTGCTTTGGCTTTTATTAAGTTCGTTGGGTTCTTGTCTTTCTCAGGGTTTCCGGTTGACTTTTTGGTTCTTCTTTGATGGTCGTGCCCACTCTTTGGTTTTTAGTGTGAACAGTATTGGGGCATATTAAAAGTAGATTGTCGACCTTTTTTTTTTTTTTAAACGGACCCAGTGCCCAAGGCTGATATTACCAATAAGAGGAATGAGGCTGGGGTCCGCACAGTCTGCCCGGAGAAACAAAACCGAACTTACTGAGAACCAGGCTAAGCGTCCCTCATGGGGTGACTATGATGATGATGATCCTGATGGTGATAATGATCCTGATGATCATGATCATACTACTGATCATGATGATGATGCTGATGGTGTTAAAAGATTGTATTAATTGTGATAAGCTATGATATACCAACAGTTTTGATCTCCTAATCCTAGAGCAACTTCTAGCCCTCCCTGTACAAGGACATTGTAAAACAGAGACAATACCGACCTAACCAATGCCCCCCCTAGCTGATCTCTCCTCGCCACGGAGCAGCCCCCCCCTGGTTCGTCAGTGGATTGCCTTCCCCCCTCGGCAACCCCCAGATCTCTCTACAAGGCCTCACGCTCCTGCCTGTGCAGGTTACAGGGCAACGCCCCAGCTCCGGCCAGCGTCGTTCTGGCGTCGGCAAGACAGGGGCACAAAAAAGAACAGCTCTGCAGATATCGTTCCGGGTTCGACCATCCCTGAAATCCTATATCCCAAATGTGGAAGAAAACTCGATGCTGCCCAAAATTCCAGGACACCAGAAAGCTTAGTATGACATGGATGCGATAATGATATTAATGATGATGATGATGATGAAGATGATTATGCCTTTTTGGGGGGGGGGGGGG